CCCTCCTGCCCCAATTTTCCCCTTATTCTAGCTCAGCATATCTCACTGCTGTTGCCGCCACAAGCCTGCATCCCCAATCCAACTCTACCCAAGAGACTGCCTATTTACAGTGATGTACCTGGGCCCCGTGCTTTCCATGTACACTTAAGGTACATACTAAGGTCCAAATTCAAGATCAGAGCTCTTGTATCTTTGGGAGAACATGAAGGAGAGTGGGAATGATCCAAGATTTCCCCAGACAGATGGTGAAGCTTTAGCCTGACAGTGCACAAGTGTGTTCAGATAGCTCTTGAATGGAACTACAAATTCCTCCTCCCCCACACTGATCAGTATTAGAACCTGCACAAAAACACACTTGCAAATTGAACTAACTCAACATGTAGATTTTTACACGTTAAGTCAATATTTTGTTTTCTCAGCCCCTCATTATAGGCAACTAGAGCCAAGAAAGTTTTTTGGATCTGATCTTACCTGTTTGGCGGTCCAAAGCCTGGGTGAACTGGTTAATTGCAGGGGGCACCTTCAAACGTTTGTAAAGAATGGCTCTCTGGCGCTGGAGTCTGATGTAGCGGGGCCATTTCACAAAACGTGTTAGATCACGCTTGGGCTGGATATCCTGTCCTGAAACACAGACCACAATTCAGATGCTCCAAAGTCACGTGAGCTTGTCCAATATAGAACACAGATAGGAGTGCATCAGCGATCTTGGTGGATATACATGTCAGCACTATCACTCAGATAGCAAATATTCTTTTGCATCATCTGCACACAGTATGAAAAGCTGCTGTTCAACTAATTTAGCAAACAATATGCAGGGGGGAAGAGGGGTGTGTGTCTGGTCTCTGTTAAAACCAGAATTTGAGAATGTTTTCTACCACCATACTCAATCCCTGCTCTCCGTCCCCACCACCCCTAAACCCAAGATTTCTGTCCATAGCCTATTAGAAATGGCATTTCTATGAAAGGAGCCCATTTACACCACAATTAGATACTCATCTTATTTCAGACAGCCATAATATATCCCTATCACAAGATTAACATTGCTAATTGTTTAACAATGCTTTACTACCAAAACATAAGATATATCTAAATTATATTTTCATTTAGCAATAAGCCTAAACAGAGTTGTGAACTTCACTATCAGTTGCAGGGGTAGAGGAAGTCCACACTACAACTTAAATCAAATATGTTACAAAAATGTTGGTTATGCCTAACACAAACTTAGTCATGTGCCAAAACAAATACCATTACCTATTCAGAGTATTATCTCTTGACCAGCAGCTGAAACAGCCCAAAGCACCCCAAATGCCCATTTACTCACCAATGCCAAAGTTCTTGGGCCTCTTCTCAAAGAGAGGATTTACAACCTTCTTGGCCTCCTGCTTCTTGACTACAGCAGGGGCAGGTGCCACCTTCTTGCCCTTAGCCTTCTTTCCTTTCGGCTGCAAATGAAAGAAATGCTAAATTCCCTCCATTCAAGCAATGCCTGCTTGGAGAGGCTTATATCTTTGTTAAGGTGGAGCATATTAGTGTGCAGGTCTAGACCCTGTTCTTGCAGGGGGTAGCCATGATGCCTCAACTCCCTCATCTTGATTTTTAAGGCTCTTTTTAAAGAGCCTCTCTTAAGTCATTTTGCTTGTGCGATCGATGAGCCATTTTTATCTCACTCAAATGCCCTTAATCACAGAGAAACTCTGCCCAGTGCAGAGCAATGCCTCCTCCAACTGGTGTTGTAGCCACTTTGTGATGGGAGCAAGAGCCCCCTCTGCCCCCAACGGTAGAGGCAAACTGGCTCCTCACACCCTCCTGCAGTACTGAAAACAGGAGTGACTGACTGCTCTGTGAGGAGACTATTCACCAGGCAGACCCAGGGCGCTGGTCCCAATCTCCTGGGTCTGCCGCATTTCAGCCGCTTCACACCAGAGGATGTGAAGGCCCATTGCTAGTTGGGGGCGGCTTTAGCCTCAGCCCGAGGAGAAGAGACTCGGCCAAGTTTCACTCCCTTCAAGCCAACCCCCCCCCGGGCCCGGGGCCTCCGCTGCAAGTGCGAGGCCTGGCCCCCACCGTCCCCCACCTCCCCCCGCCCCCGGCCTGCCCTTGTCCCGGGACCCCCAACCCATCTCTGGGAAGGGCCCTCGGCCGGGAGAACAGGCGCCCGCTACCCCCGATACGCGGCTCCTCACGGGCTAAGCTCAGCCCCCGGGGCCCTGCTGCAGCCGGCGCCGCAGGCCGGTGAGGCTGAGGCCCAGGCCGGCCCCGACTCCCGCAGACCGCGAAAGAGCCCGGCCTGGTCCCTCCGGGGGCCGCGCGTCTGCCCCGCCCGGCAGCGCCCGGCTACGGCCCCGGTTAAGGGGCGGATGGCGGCGGATTCAACCTCCCCCGAACCCGGGCCCAGCAGCAGCAGCCGCCACTCACCATCTTGGATTGAGGGGGAAAAAGAGAGAGCGGGGCATGCTGGGTAATGTATGTATGGGGCTGGAAATCCCGCGAGAGCGAGGTAACCCTCGACACAGGGGAGAAGCAAGCGAGCTGGGGAGGATTTAAAGGGGCCGTGGTCTATTTCTTCTTAAAGGGGAAGTTGCCACTATTACCCTCCCCTGACCCCTAGCCGAGGGGGTGGTGAAGCTGAAAAGAACAAAGGACGGAGCTTGTGGACGCAGAGACTGGACTCGGGAGATGGTCTTGTGGTGACCCCTTTAACATCTGGCTCCTAAGTACTCGGTGCCCCTAATGTGCCTGCAACACACCATGCATTCACACACCAAATTGCTCCCAGGAGCACGTAGGTGATCATGCCCTTTGGAGCAAACCTGCTCTGAGGTTTAATGAATGCTGTGTAGATGTCTATCCAGCAATAAAGTTCAGAGTTATCTATGTTACTACCAAATCACAGGCACTCAGTTTAAGGCGCTCCCACTAACTGGAAACACCACACACCATTTCTCAGAGCATGCTGTGTTTGCAGCATATGCAGGGAAGCCGGAAACAATATTGTGCCTATACCCAATACACTCAGGGAGCAATGGGGGGGGGGGGGATCTACACATGGACTATCTCCAGATTGTTTAGGGGGCAGCATGTATGTAGCCCATGGGGCTAGCCTGCTAGATTATATGTTTTTCTTTATTGGTTTGATTATATTGTTTTATGTTTTTGTACTGAGTAATTTCAGTAAACATCACTTCATTATATTTGGCTGTAATGCAAAGAACCTACAGGCCTGTACCCTGTATGATTAGCTAGAGCAAGTTAGCAGAAGTATCTGTAACCTTTGGCATAGATAAATGGCCTACCAGTTACCCCTTTCAACTTTGGCGAACTGAATGTGTTTACCAGAATTCTGGAACATGCCAGTAACCTCCAGGTACGCTGCAAGAACATGGAATTAACAGCTCAGGCCAAAGGTAACACGATTTGTTACAATATTCTCAAAACTGTGAATACCCTAAGATTTATCTGGGTGAGGAAATAAGATTTGAGCATGGTTGGGTAATGATATGAATATTCAGGATAGTGCCAGGACGCTATAGGAAGGGAAACCACCATGTGGGGGTTAGATCTTTTTCCTTGTCTTTGGCCTTGAGGCCTCTTTTGTTTGGGGTTTCAGCTCAGCTTTTGCAATATAGCTCAGCTACTTAACCCCTGACCCTGATCTCCACCATCTTTGGATTGAGGAACCCGGACCATTGAACTTATCAGGCAGTCCAGAGATGAGGCTGATCCTTTGTCTCCCACTCCCAGGTCCCCAAGGAAGGATGTGAGTATGCTAGTTTAAGTAGGTTGGTAAAGGGATGATACCACAAGGGTCTACAGAACTGTACTAGTGCTTTGTGGCTCGATGGTTTGGGGCATTGATAATTCCTTTATTTTAATAAAATCTCTAAAGCCTGGCTTTGTCCTCAGTGTGAATGTCTTTGCCACACACCCCAAGGGGCCAGACAAAGTATTGAACTCTCTACATTCTCTAATTCTGTAGCCTGGTTTTGCGACAAGAACCTAAGTATCTTCTAGTCAGATCATTGGCGAGCCTATAATAATAAATCAGCCCATAAAAATCAGGTTAACAGGTGGACTCCCCAAACTTGGCCATTTGATGCATCATGGAAGTTCCACTCATTTTGTTTAAGGAAAATATATTTGCACTAGTACAAAAGAAAACAGAACTAGGTCTCTGCATTGCCATATGGAAAACCTGTGCTCCAGCTCTGGTATCTGTGGTCAGAGAGTGGCTACCAGGGAGCATTCTGCAGCTCTTTAAGAGCATGGCGCTATACACAGCTCTTTCCTTCCTTGCCATTGAGTTCACAATTTGCAACAGCCCCTTTTGGCACTGAAGAGGTAAGGCGGAATCAAAAATGAATTTCAACCTAAGCTCAGAACTGGAAACAGGGGAGGGGGTGTGCGTGGAGACCTGCAGCTGATGAATAAAGCTAGAAAGACCCGGTTGGGTGTGGAAGGCATCTTCTTAGCATATGTGCAACGTGCCTCAGCTGACAGGTGACGGGATTCATCACTGAACTCGGTGTGCTGGTCGGATCATTAGCTTCCCCAGGCCGCATACTGACAGGAGTGCTACGTGAACGATGATCCATGCCCCCCATGGAAGGCATTAAGGGGGCTGAGCCAAACCTCAGAAGCCTGTATCAGATTCTATGCAATTTTAGATGCGCTAACATGCTACAGACTAAATGATAATGAACGAGAGATGCTGCAGATTTCCCCCTACAGGGATAAATAGTTGCAATCAGAGAGAAATGAGGGCTAGTCAGCCGATACCTAGAATATAAATGTTCCACTCTGGGTATCATGAAGTTAGAAAAAGTAGAGCCCCCCTCTTCCAAACTTAACATTAAGCAGCCAAGTAAACAGCTTGATTTTCAGAGGCACAACCAACCAACCCCAGGCCCAATGTTCAGCACCCCTGAAAAAATCAGGCTGCATTATAAGTGCCTAAACATGGGTTTGGGTGGCTACGGGATAAATGGCACCAGGCGCAGGTATCAGAGCAGTTTTGTAAAACAGTTTATTAAGAGATGCCACAACAAGCCCCGTAAGTGCAGGCTGAGAGTCCATTTCCATGCCACCAACACTGGCAGCCCTAGTCTCATTTCACACCAGCTTTCTCCAAGTCCTCTGGCAGGATGCGGCCCTTTTTCCGGGCCTTGTCCTTCCTGCGCTCCACCTTGGCCACCTTCTTCTTCTGGATGTTCTTACGCCGCTTGTCCTGCCGCTGCTGCATCTTCTCTACCACATTCTCTGTCCTCTTCTCCCACTGCTTCTGGCGCTGGGCCTTGAGCTTCTCCTTGCGCTTCAGGGCAGCCTTCAGACGTTCCTCGTCATCGCGGATCTTGACGCCTTCTGCCTTGTAAAGGACGTTGGTCCATTTCATTTTATTTTCCAGCTCCTGGGCTTTCTTTTGGTCCTTGTCCTTCAGCTCCTCCAGTTTGCTCTTCCGGGCTTCCAGCCTGCTCAGCAGCTGCTTGTAGTTCTTGCCAGTCAGAGGGGTAAGGTTACCCTTCACTCTCTTCCTCTTCTCTCTCTTCTTCTCTGTCTTGCTCAGCTCCTCCTCCTCACAGACTTTGACCTGGTTGAAGATGATCCCAACCTTGCTCTCCTCCTTCGCTTGCTGCGGCTCCACAGCTGCAGCTGCCTCCTGGGCTCCCTTCTTCTCCATTTTCTCCTTCATCTTCAGCTCCTTTTTTCGGCGCCTCTTTCTCTCCTTCTCATACTTCCTTCGGCGCCTCTTCTCCAGCACAGCTGGTGATAGCTCTTTAGTGCCACCCTAAAGGAAAGGCCAGAAGAGGAAGAGAGGCTGTAAAGGGGTTGTACAGAATTTAGATATTACAGCTGAGATGACCACAACTCCCTTGATTTACATTTCCCATAAGTGCCTTAAACATTTACCATCTATCACAGGACCATCTAAGGTTAGAAGTTATGGGCCTGACTTTCAGAGGTGCTGAGCACCCAGAACTCCAACTGTACATCCCAAATCTCAGCCTTCTGGGAGTCTCCTAACCTTCATTCTGCATACATTTGTGAACGAGCTTCTCCCTTACTGTACCTGGCCTCAGACTATGTGGAGTCCACAGACCTTGGGGTTTCCTCAGCCCTTGATTCTGGAGCTGTTTCACCTCTCATGAGATTCCCCCACCACAGTGCTCCTTCTCTGGTCGGGTGGATGTACTCCTCCAAGACTGGCCTGTATGAACTGGTTATTAAAGAGGTCTATCTAGTTTCTCTAGTCACTCTGGGCCATACACCACCCTCAACTCATGCACAAAACCCTGAATGACATCGATAGGAGTGTCCCCCAGGAGACAGCCCCAAACACATCACCTTCAATGAGAATGAATTCCCTTCACAGGTCACTTAGCGAGCTCTGGATATTGCAGGTTGGCCACCCAGTCCGTCTCCCAGCAACAAGCTGCACTGTGGGGTGAGGACGGGGGGGACGACAATGACCAACCAACCTATCCAATGAATGGCTAATGCCCTTACCTGACCAGAGACTTCTTGTATCTTCTCATGTAACCTCTGACGCAAGATATTCACGGCAGAAAATGAACCCGGATCACTTTTTCCACCTGGTAAAAAAAGTGGGAGAATGAAGTAACTCACTTAGAATAAGGCACTAGCCACATAGGAAAGATCTTTGACAGTTTCCAGTGGGACCCACGAAGGAAATGCAAGACACACTTTCCTCAGAAAATTGCATGGTGTCAAGTATCAGGGAGTAGCCGTGTTAGTCTGTATCCACAAAAACAACGAGTCCGGTGGCACCTTAAAGACTAAACAGATTTATTTGGGCATAAGCTTTCGTGGGTAAAAAAAACCACTTCTTCAGATGCAACCTTATGCCCAAAAGCTTATGCCTAAATAAATCTGTTAGTCTTTAAGGTGCCACCGGATTCCTTGTTGTTTCCTCAGAAAGGAACATTTCTTTGGAATTGCCTCCCCTCCATCTCTAACACTACTCAAGGTGGTTGAACCCAGAAGAACGTTTTAGCACCATCCGGCAGCTGGTCAGTTTCTCTCTCATGCATTTAGTGCAGCTCTGAACCATCACACTTGCAAACACTACTGGGGAACGTCTAAATCCAGACAAAAGCCTTTTCATTGAAGAGTGAAAGGGGGCGGGGGGAATCATGAAGACTCTCCTCTCTATTCATATGAAACGCGCTCTTTCAAACACAGGCCTGCTTTACACCTAAAAATTAGATTGACCTAGCTACATTGCTCAAATTTTACACTAACCCTCATTGTGGATGCAGCTAGGTCAACAAAAGAATTCTATTGATCTAGCCACCACCTCTCGGAGAGGTGGATTAGCTACATCATCTACACTACAGCTTCACAGTGGCACAGTTGCGGCACCATAGCTGTGCAGCTGTAGCGCAGACATACCCAAACTCCTCAATACATTAGGGCAGCATTTCAAACTGCGGTTCAGGAAGTTGCCTCTTTAACATTGGTGAAGCATCTGCAGAGTGACGTGGGGAGATCAGAGCAGCAAGGGCTGTAAGCAGCTTGGGGAGATTCCAGGGGGTGCCTGTAAATGAGAAGATATACTCCCAGGCAGTGGAAACAAAGAACCAAGCAACACAGCGATCAAATTCAAGTGAGTTTATTTTCAGCCTCTCTCCTTAGCAACGTGTGAAGAAAAAAAAAAATCACTTTTTCAGGTGACCAAGCACTCTAGTTGCTGCAGAGCAGGCGGGGCACTGGCAGGGGTGTCAGCCACACGACAATCTCTAGTTGATGAAGTGACCCACAATATGAAGAGTTTGAGAAGCGGTGATTTAAGGGATTTATGTTTCCAGAGAACCCACTACTAACCACCTTGTGGCTCTGGATCTCACACACACACACTTCACTTCGAACATTTAATGAGAAAAATATTGTATATGCCGCTGAAGGATTTCTAAGGGTTTTGCAAACTAAATATATTCAGTGTACCAGGGAAAGGCAGCTACCACTGGGTTGGAGAGCATCAACTATACTACACACTACAAAGGACTCCAGAAAAGGAAAATTTAAGCTAAATATCTGCTCCATGCAGAAAGAACTTTGTTGGGTTTTTTTAATCTCTTTCTTCCAGAAGATCCCCAAACACAGAACTCAAAATGACATAGCTGGGAAGGACAAGGGCTGAGTTCTACCCCATTAAGATCTAAACCATGGCTCCAGGGAATCTAGTTATTCCACAGTAGTGGTTTAGTCCATTAAACCATCCTGCTGTACAACACACGATCCACATTTCATTTCTCCCAATTGAGACAGTGAAAAATCAGTTACTCAGTTTCCATTTTGTCTAGAGTCCTACACGTGCTGTGGCAGTGTTTATTAGTTTAAGAACAACTGTTTGCATTGGAATTTAGATTTTTACAAATTCATGGAAATATTTCTGTCAATTATAGGATTTACAAAAAGCTTCTACAAAATTAGATTAGATCTGAACTGACAGAGTCTCTTTTCCCCCCTGCAGTTACAGACAGCTCTCCTTTGCACATCTCCAGTAAGTATACCCAGCTGCAACATTACAACTTGCTTGTCTTGAACCTCACACCCAGTTTGCAGTCTGATCTGAGCAAAGGATAAACTCAATACTCGTGTATGGAGACTCGGAACAGTCTTCCCAGTCCCAGTTTGTTGGCGTGGGGAAGGAAGAAAGACAAGGCTCAGCTCAGCCAGATTTAGCCTGTGAATTGGCCATCCAAACCCTCTCACCTGTAGTTCCGTTCTCACTTTTGCTCACTGCTGTTCCAGTTGGAGCAGCTCTGCTCCCATTGGGCGCTGTCTGTTCGGCTGGAGTAGGTGTGTTAAGATTAGGTCCTGCCTGCTTAGCTGGAGCAGATTTGCTGGGATTGGGTCCTGCCTGCTTAGCTGGAGGGGCATCTGCCTTCTCCGCTTGCTTTCTAGGTTTCTTTCTCTTCTTTTTCTTCGGCTGGCTGCTAGCATCTCCAGACCCAGCT